TGGCTTCCCAAAGTGCTGGGATTACAGGCATGAGCCACCGCACCTGGCCACAAAACTGTTATATAGCACTTGCACCTCACAAACAGGAGACCCAGGGTTAGGATGTTCACCTTGGTTTTGTTTAGGAGGCAAAGTCTACTGTTTTCCAGAGAGAAGTTTTGTACAAACATGTGATCCATGCAGTGCTATGGCTGAGCATCAACTCGCATGGCTGATTGCAGCCTGTGGCATTCCCGGATTGATTGATTCATTTATCCCATGAATATTTATTGAGCACCACTTTGTGCTAGGCCTTATGCTATGGTGTTTGGTATTGGGGATAACAATGATCATAACAGTCATTTTATTGAGTGCTTATTATGCGCCCTGTGTTGGGTAAGAACTTGACATGGCATCTCTCATTTGATCTCCATCACAACTCTACTAGAAAAATGTTACTATTATTATCACCATTTTACAGATGAGAAAACCAGCCAGGACTAATTCAGCCTTAATTCCAAACTCTCAGGGAAGAACCTTATTGGTCCAGCTTGGGTCAAGTGTCCACTTCTCTTCACAGCAGAGGTGAAGAGAGTGGAGCTGTGTCACTTAGTTCAAAGTTGGCTACAGTCCAATGGGAGGCAGTTCTCAGAGAAACAGGGTCTCCGTGAGTAGCTGCACCCTCTTCCATGTCTGCTGGGCTACAGAGGGTAGATTTGGGGGAAGATGAAGTGATGGATATCTTAGGCCAATGATATCCTAGGTCCTGGGACCACTCCACTAGGAGGTCCCACAGCAGCTCCTACCTCTGAACTCCACAGGGCACCCCTTGTTTCTAGAATAAATCCCCCTCTCTTGATCTCTGAAAGGGTTTATGTTACTTATGATTGAGGGGGCCTGAGTTGGCTGGTCTTATAATCACAGATAGCTGAATACTTCCAGAGCCCTGTCCTGGGTTTTGACCCCTGACCTCGGCAATACTGCACACCGAATTGCACAGTGGAGCAAACCAGTAGAATGCACAGCTGTCTCGAGCACTCAGATATGCCACATGACTCACTGGTATGCTGCGGGGCCCCACTGCGGAAGGCTTCCAGAAGGTGGCCACTTCAGACCAAGCATTTCTACAGGGCTCAGAGGGAAGAAAAAGATACTGGACCTTCGCTAATTCTTTTTTTTTTTTTTTTTTGAGACGGAGTCTCGCTCTGTCGCCCAGGCTGGAGTGTGCAGTGGCGTGATCTCTGCAAGCTCCGCCTCCTGGGTTTACGCCATTCTCCTGCCTCAGCCTCCTGAGTAGCTGGGACTACAGGCGCCCGCCACCTCGCCTGGCTAGATTTTTGTATTTTTTAGTAGAGACGGGGTTTCACTGTGTTAGCCAGGATGGTCTTGATCTCCTGACCTCGTGATCCGCCCGTCTTGGCCTCCCAAAGTGCTGGGATTACAGGCTTGAGCCACTGCGCCCCGCTGACCTTCGCTAATTCTAATACAGGAAAGCCCTGTCAACCTACACAACAAAATTCTTTTAGCTTTCTGTAGGAGTACCAACAACAGTAATGACACTGATAACGATAGCTCTCGTTTGCTAGGTGCCAGACACCGCAGTATCACGTTACATGCACATTACTCCGCGGCATGCACATTACATGCATTTTTCTGTTTGACATTCACAACAGCCCTTTTGGGTAGAGGTTATTATTGCTGTCATTGTGCAGAGGCAGAAACTGAGGCCCAAGAGGGACAAGTAATTTGCCCAAACGCACATAGCTATGAGGTATGGGTGGTGGCTCTCCAATCCAGATCATTCTGAGGCTACAGCCCAAGTTCTAACATTATATCCATGTTATATCATGCCTAAGACATTGAGGCCTTGTCTGGTATTTCAGCAATTTGATGGTTAGTGTTGAAGTCCTCAGGATCTACAGCTAAGAATATACTCTCTGAGTACTGAAAGCACCCAGACGTGGATGGCGTTTTAAGAAAAGACATACACACACATACACATAGACACATACTTGGAAAAAGAAGTCACACTGGCATGAATGGTGACAGTAGGTGCTGCTGGTCCCACTGTGGCTTAGAGGAACTCAGAATAGCCTCAGAGACTGTGGGTAAGAGTCCATTTTCTGATGCATCTTGAATTTGGTTCATCTCAGCATCCTCACATCCTCCCCTCACCTTTTATAAAAAGTAAAGTCATGCAGAACTGGGTGCTTTGTTGAGGAACGTGGTCAAGACCTAATCCAAAATGAGAAATGGCATCACACAAAATTCTGAATGTATACTGAGGTCTGACTAGTTGGCCTGAGGTTAAGCAGCAGGAAATTAAGCCAAGTGGCGTGGCTGCCCCGCCTGGAAGCATTGCTGCTTTTTAGAACTTTTGTAAAAATAAATGTCAGCGAAGACAAAAGGAATGAGCTCTTTAAAAATAAATGCACCTGCCACTGTTCTTGCTTAAGATCATCTAACTCCTTGCTACTCAAAGTGTGGCTCGGGAACTAGAAGCATCTGTGTCACCTGGGGGTTTATCAGAAAAGCAAGTATCAGCCCTACTTCGAACTGCTGAGTTCAAATCTGCATTTCCACAAGGATCTCCAAGTGATTCCTCTTGCAGATTAGAATTTGAGAAGCAGAGAGCTTCTTTTGGTCATCAAATAACTCATCTTGGCATAATTATGCTGAAAGAATGGCCACTGGATTCTCCGAGGGGTCCATCCACATTCATTCATTTGTCCATTCATTCATTCATTCACCCATTCACTGATTCATCTATTTAAAAAATATATTGATTATCCAGTAAATGTCAGGCACTGGGGCTATGACTGTAAACATGAGAGATGTGATGTATAGACTGGTGGGAGAGAAAGACATTAAACATTTATTTAGTTATTATAGTGAGTACCAGCATAGATACATTTAGTAAGCACAACAAACACAGTGTTAGAGGGCCCTGATCTGCTTACTGACGGGGAGAACTTGCAGGGAGGATTAGGGAAGGTGTCTTTGGGGAAGTGGTATCTAAACAGACCCCAAAAAGGACAAAAGTGTGTTTATTAAGGGAATGGTCTGGGCAGCAGGAATGGCCTGTGCAAATGCCTGGAGGCGGGAAGATGCGAGGTATATTGAAGCCTCGTCCTCTATGATTTGAGAGTGGCATTATGGTAGCATTACATGTAACAGTGAGATGTTAGGAGCCCTTCCCCCCTTAGGAGAGATATTTGATGACCTATTTATTTTATATATGAAAATATGCATCATTACAGACTAAACAGACATATTTCCCTCTGGAGAAAGTCTACTTCTTTCATGCGGTCACACACTGGCCAGGAGTCAAGGTGTTTTCCTTGATACAGAGAAGAGAAAAGCATCTTTGTCTTCCATTTGCATTTTCCATTTAGTTTTCAGTTTATCAGCCACTAATGGTAATGTGTGCAAAGCCACTACCCAAATGAATGGCAAGCTTGCTCTGTGTATGTGTGTGCATGTGTGCATGCCTGTGTCTTGATGGTGATTTGTGGAAGTGATGGGAGGTCGGCGGGGGGCTAACCCTAAAGATGCCTTGGGTCTGGGGCTCAGGGGCTCAGACTCACCATGGTCTACAGTCCCCTGCCATTTCCCACTCTACTTGCTTCTTTTCTAAGCCTAGACTTCTTTTCTAAGTCTAGCATGTTACAGCTTTGTGAGCACAAGTAGTGTATTTGGGAGGTGATCCTGGGAAACCCCCATAGGAGAGTGGGACAAGGAGAGGAAGGTGTGTTAATGAGCAAGCAGGTGACCACTATGGGCAACTTGGGGCTCAACCCTGTTGGCACCACAGGGGAATAATATAGAGTTGGAGTTAGCAAACTTGTCTAGAAAGGGCCACACCATAAATACTAGGCTTTGGGGGGTATACAGTCGCTTGTACAACTCTGCCCTTGTAGTATGAAGGCAACTGTAGACCATATGTAAAGAAATGGGCGTGGCTGTCTTCCAATATAACTTTATTTATAAAAACAAGTCTTGGGCCAGATTGGGCTGGTGAACTGTAGTTTGTTGACTCTTGATATAGAAGATGTCTCAGAGTTCTTGCATCTGAAGGCAAGGCAACTCAGGTACTTATCTGTTATCATTTGTCTGCCATTGGTAGAGGGATGCTCCTTAAGGCATTGCCTTCTTGTCCCTTATGAACTGCCCCAGACCACAGACAGAGAGCCACAGGTGCTACTGTGGGAAGCCATGAATGTGCGTGAGCATGGGAAGAGCCAAGAGGGGGGACTATTTTACAGTGAGTGAAGTAAGACTCAGAGAGGGCAAATGATGGTATGAGCTCACAAGGAAGGTAGTGGTCATGATCAAAACAGAGCTGATCCCTATGCTGTTTGTACATGGTGACACTCTAAAAGTAGGAGATTTTATGCAGTGTTTTCCAATTGCATTTTAACATCTGTCTAGAAACTTTTGTTCTGAAGCACACCATTTAGAAAGCATGTCACCACAACCTATTCCATGAAATGGATTTTCTTCTGCTCCCCAAACTGTTAGAGAAGCACTTGAGAATCAAAGTAAGAACAAAGATACATAATTTAAGTGTTTATTCTTGAGAACCTTTTAAAATGTCTTGATTATATGTGTTTCCAAGAGGTACATATAGAAACTTTGCAAATCAATGAAAAGGCAGCAAACTGCCTAAGAGAAAATAGGGCAAATAATACAAACAGGTGACTCTCCAAAGAGAAAATATAAATAAACAATGAATATACATAGATGGTCCTCAGTCTTGACAATCAGGTAAGTACAAGAAAACAACAAGATGTCCTCTTTGCCCATCACACTGGCAGAAAGTTAAATGCCTTATTAAAGGGTGGATGAAGATGTGAAGTAACTGGTCCTTGGATATTCAAGTAGGCTGTGATTTGGGACAAATTTTCTGGAGGTTTATTTGATTAATAAAATCTGTTTCCTCTCACTTTCTTCTTCCAAGAACAAGAGAAGGAATCACAATTGGTCCATGACAGTCACGGTCATCTCATTCCTCTTCCCAGTGGCAGGTGTATATGTGAGTTTGCAGCTCAATCCTGGCCAAGGGGATCTGAGGACTGCTGAAGAGGCATGTCTGCACATGCCGCCTAGAACATCTCCAGCCATCATATGATCCCTGGGGGAGGCATTCCCAACTCTGAGAGAAGCAGAACAGAAAGATGGAAAGAAAGCGCCTAGCTCCAGGATGAAGACATTGAGCCGCTGAATTAACCATCTTTGTGTTGCTCTAACCTTCAGAGTTCACCTTAACACGAGAAAATAAAACCCTTATTGCTTAGCCACTGGGATCTTCTTTTATATGCAGCCAAAAGTATCTTAACTGATATAATTATCTCTCCCACATAGAAATGGGGGCTTATGTGCCCAAATAGACAATGCACAAGTATTTTATTATAGCATTGCATGTAATCGTGAGACATTAAGAGTAACCTGAAATGTGCGTCAGAGGGGACCTAGGGAAATAAACTGTGATTCAGTAACACTATGGAATTTGAGGCAGCCGTTAACAGCAACTAGGTAAATTTTTATGTGCTGATCCCAACATCTCCAAGATCTCTAAGACATTTAAGTTTTTAGAAGTTGTGAAAGAAATACATATGGTATAATCCCATTTACGAAAAACAAAATAATCCTTAAAATAAAATGTGTGAAGATTCATATATATACACATTCATACCTATAGAAAAAGGGGGTAGGAGGAATCACATCATATACATAAAAGCATTTGCCTCTGGAGCTGGGAGATGGGCAGTGGGTGAGAGTTAAGATAAACTTGTGCTTTTTTATGTATGGCACTTGTCCTTTTAGCAACACAAATGAGTGAATTTATGGCTTTGTCATAAAAAAGATAACGTTTGGAAAATAGCCCACATGCTCGTTATAGAAAAATCTAGCAAATGCTAGAATGCACAGATGTAAGTTTTGTTCAAACCATGCAAGACAGAGGGGTTTGTTGTTGTTGTTGTTGTTTAGAAAAACACAATATTTCCGGTTTCCTGGGGGCAAAGAGGAACTTCTCTTCAGGCCCTCAAATGATTTTCATGTGTGTGGCACAATTACTGGGGCAGAGTTCAGTGTTTTTAATCAAAAGCTACTTGTCAAGTAGGTAATATCACTTTGCCTAGCCTGCGTAAACAAAGCTTTGTGAGGACTGGGTTTGGAAAGTGGAAGAGCTGAATCATTTAAATTGGAGTGTGTGTGTGTGTGTGTGTGAGAGAGAGAGAGAGAGAGAGAAAGGAGAAAGAGAGAGACAGGGGGAGAGAGAGAGAGAGAGACAGAGTTGGGGGAGAAGAGGGGAGGAGGATGGAGTGCTCTATGTGATATACACGGTTCTGGAGAATTCTCCATAGAAATATCCACCCTGTGTTTTCCAGCACCGGTTCTGCTCCCAACCACTTGGAACCATAAGAATTTGACCTTCCAAAGGAGAGAGGCTTCCTCGCGATGCTTGGTTGGTAATGACTGAGTTGTAGGCACGGACTGTTTTGTAATTGCCTTCCAGTTGTCTCCTACATTTTTCTGAGTTGGGTACCATTAGTCTCAAGGCTCCTGTCATGTGGCCATTAAATCATTGTTTTATCTGACAGCGTCATTTCTGCAAAACCCTGGAGAGAAAACACTACACATTTTCCAGGACTGGAATGCTGCCACCTGGTCATTATGCCCAGCAGCCCTCAGACAGCTACCCCTAAAGACGTGCACCTTTGGGGCAACGGCACCATGGCTCCCCAGACTAAACAGCTCTGGAGGGCTTACTGTGTTACTGGTTGTGTTTTTTTTTTAATGAGTGGAATTACCCTGGTCAGCAAACAGCCTCTAGCACTAATTTAGGAGACTGATTCTGACAAATGGGTGTAAAGAAAAGAAGAATGGCAGGAAAAACATTGCTTTTCAGAAATCAAAAAGGATGCTTTTCTGAGGGTATCACTTATTTTTCCTTCCACCCCTGCAAACTACCCAGGGCGAAAGCAGAAGAAAAATGTTCCCGACAGGGTCTAATTGTTATCTGAAATAAATGAGAACAGGGAGGTTTGAGGACTCCCGAACATGGACAGATGAGGTGGGAGGAATTGTTTTCGTGACTGATTTCCAACAGCCAAGCTGCAAGGCTGAATAAAGAGGATGCCAGTGAGTCCTTAACAAAACAATAAAAAACCAAGGCTTGCCACCTTCAGGGATCATAATTTATTCATTCAACAAATAAATGATTGAATGGTTAGTGGTTGTTCTGTGCTGGACATTCTTCTAGGAGCTGGGGACACAGCAATGAACCAAGCAATGTCTCTCTATCTTAACTGGGCTCTGAATAGGAAAGAGATGGTGCACTCAAATTGGGAATTGGAGGAGGACTTGAATAAAGGGACTATTTGCACAGACTGTTTGCAAAGATCCCCCTACAAGGGATTGTGCAGTCCCCTGGGGCTAGCAACAGCAGGGAGCTGTTACCACCCTGAAAGGGCACAGAGGGGGAGCAGTGACTGGCAGTGAAGAGGTTGGTGGTAGGGAGATGCCATGTGACAGGAGCCAGGACCAGAGAATCATAACCAACCAAGTCCATGTAGCGAAAATGAGACTGGGAACAGAGACTCCAACCTTTCTCTCCCCTTACCCTTTTGTATTAGTCTGTTTTCAGGCTATTGATAAAGACATACCTGAAACTGGGTAATTTATTTTTTAAAAAAGAGGTTTAATGGACTCATAGTTCCATGTGGCTGGGCTCACCATCATGGTGGAAGGCAAAAGGCACATCTTACATGGCAACAGGCAAGAGAGAATGAGAGCCAAATGAAAGGGGTTTCCCTTTATAAAACCATCAGATCTCTTGAGACTTATTCACTACCACAAGAACAGTATGGGGGAAACTGCGCCCATGATTCAATTATGTTCCATCAAGTCCCTCCCACAACATATGGGAATTATGGGGGCTGCAATTCAAGATGAGATGTGGGTGGAGACACAGCCAAACAATATCACCTTTGATCTCCTAGCAGTGTTTTCTATTGGCTGAATCCAACTGGAGGCTGGAGAGCAAGGGAGGTCATTAATTTGCCATTCTCCTGGGGCACAGAGCAGAGAGGAGAAGGGTGGCAAGTGGCTCTGAAGGGGCAAATGGAATATTTCCAGCACAGTCCTTGTCCTCTAGGAGTCAATATTCTACCTAGGGGACACAGACCATAAACAAATAAGCCCATAACTCTACAATACAATGTTGCCAGGACTTCATTAATCTAAGCAGCACTTCTGTGCAAATTAGAAAAAGCCACCCTCTCTCCAAATGGATTCAGCCCCGTGCCAGGGCACATGGTTTAGCAAGGGCTGGATATCAGCCCCCCACTCAATGTTTGGTCAGGAGCTTGTGCAGAACTCAACCCACAAAACACAATATCCTTCATGGCCAAGTGGTCAAGGTGTCATAAAGAAAATTGAGAATCCATGACTTGGAATGAGCCGGTGATAAGTGATGCACAGAAATAGCTTTTCTAGGGCAGTAGGCTTCGTCATACCAGTGACATGGTGACATGCTGCAAATACAGGGTCATTAAGGGGTCCCAAGGATGTCCAACAAGCTGTTCCCCCAGGACCAGTCCCTTGCAGCTCCCTGCAAACTTCACAGGTAGGCAGAAGCCAGGATGGGTCCCTTGCAGTTAGCCACCAGTGGGAGCTGCCCGGAGCTCCCGCAGGGAATGGCAAGTCTGTCTTCTCCCAGCTCCGGCTCCCTGAACTGTGATGAGCAATTTGTCTTTCAGCCTTGATCTGCTGTCAGTGGGGCTGACACTGACTCCGAGTATTAATTTCTTCTTGAGCTGTCTTACATTGCAGTCGACAGAGGGACAAAAAATGAAGTAGATTTGCCAGATACAGAAACTCATCACCCAGCTGCCTTTATTAGTGGTGAAGCTGCGGGGAGGAGGAAGGCCTGAGCCGTGCTCCTCTTCTTTTCTTAAGAAGCAGATGCCAAACCCCTAATGAAGCATCTTTCATTTTGCAGCCCTGTGCTTTGACACCTTTCTGCCTTCACTCTCCCTTGGCTGCAGAATATCTTAGCTCTGTCTCTTTTTTTTTTTGAGATGGAGTCTCGCTCTGTCCCCCAGGCTGGAGTGCAGTGGTGGGATATTGGCTCACTGCAAGTTCCGCCTCCCTGGTTCACAGCCATTCTCCTGCCTCAGCCTCCCAAGTAGTTGGGACTACAGGCGCCTGCCACCATGCCCAGCTAACTTTTTGTATTTTTAGTAGAGATGGGGTTTCACCATGTTAGCCAGGATGGTCTCGATCTCCTGACGTCATGATCCACCCGCCTCGGCCTCCCAAAGTGCTGGGATTCCAGGCATGAGCCTGGAATCTCTTTAAAATCTCTTTAAATCTCTTTAAAAATCTCTTTTAAATCTCTTTAAAGTGGCTAGGCAGAGATATTACCAAGAAATCCATGGACACCCCAAGTCTTTTCATCTGCTTATAACATCCTCACCCATCTCATGAACATGCCCTCTTGAAGGTCTCTTGTGTTGTCTAGATTTTGTTTTATTCGGGGATCTGTGGTGGGCAGAAACAAACAGGTTCATTCAGCTCAAGTTTTTAAAAATGTAGGAAATCTCATGGTATCCAATGACAGGAAGGCTCAGCTACTTGCTGTGTCTCTTGAGCTCTCAAAAGGGCACGGATGCTCAGATATGCTATTTTCTGCACACCTGTTTCTTTATTCTTTCTCTCTTTATGCTGGCTCCTTCTAATGTCCCACACAACCCATCATAGCTGTCCCGGCCCTAGAGCTTATGGGGCCCTCATCTCCATACTCTGTGGCTATCTGGATCTGTCTTTCAGTGTCCAAAGTCCAAGTTCCAGATAAGGAAATCTGATTGGTTCAGCTTGTATCAGGTGTTTCCCTTTGGTCCAGTCATCTGTAGCCTGGAGGGTGGGACCATGTGGTCTATATAGCTTCCTGTCTCTGAAATAGGAAATATGGGTGTGGCCAGAAGACTTCTCTAGAACATCCAAGAAGAGATGCTATAGAGGCAAAAGCAGATCTGGATAATATATTTTTTATTTTATTTTTGTTGAGATAGAATCTCACTATGTTGCCCGGGTTGGTCTTGAACTCCTGGGCTCAAGCAATTCTCCCGCCTTGGCCTCACAAAGTGCTGGGATTATAGGTGTGGGCCACTGAGCCCAGCCCAGATCTGGATTTAAATCTCCATTCATCCAATCACTTCCAGATCTTTGATCAATTATTTAATTTCTTTAATTAATTTAATTTTCAGTGGGTGGCAGTTGCCACCCAGGGTTATGCCTGCAAGACCAGCTTCAAGAACATGGCTCACAGACAAGCACAAAGAGGTTCCCCCATTAGTAGATCTCCAAGTACCCTGGGTCTGCTGCATTTTCAGCGACTCGTCTCTTTGGGAGCAAAGGGGAGAAGTAAAGCTTTGTATTCACATTGAATGTGTTGGGATGGGTGGGTGGTGAGATAGTCACAGCTTGGTGGCCTGGCATGTTTGGGGAAGAATTAAATATAATCACATCACTATTGTGTAGAATGCATCCATGACCTCCCCTCACAGTTAGGCTCAAGGTCAAAATTCCTCATAACAGACTTCAAAGACTTCATGAATCAGCCTAAGTGTACATCTCCATCCTCATTTTCCAGAGTGCCCCATTACACTCTGCTCATTCATTCATTCATTCATTCATTCATTCGTTCATTCATTCCCACTGTTCTGAATGCCTATGATGGGCCAGCCTGGTGGTACAGGCCACACTGGGGCTCCTTGAGCTCCTGCTGTCTCATGCCTCAGGGCCTTCACAGATGCTCTTCCCCCTGTCAGGAACACTTTTCCCTCCACCCCTTCATCAGTTAGGTGCTCCCACAGAACTTTCTACTCTGTTCCCCTCCTGTGTCAGGACTTATTGGGATGAAGACAGAGGACAGAACTAGTGCCCGTCTTCCTTCCCTGTACCCGCAGTGACCAGTGTGCTGGCTGTCACATAGCTGAGCATCAGGCCAAGTCTGCTGAATGGATTAACGTCAAAAAAAGGGCTGGAAGACATATCTCTGCCTCATGGTAAAACACTAAAGACTGCTATAAAGCTCATTTGCAGGTTTTGAGAAAAGTTTAGTTACTGAACATTGACAAGGGAAAGAGTTTTTGTGGCTAAAAGTTTTGTGGCTAAAGCACATGAAAATCAGCTTCATGTTTGTGGAAAGAGAAGAAAGGTACGCATTTGCCTGGATGAGGGTCAAGTAGGGTTTCTCCTTGGCTCTGCCCCTGCCCCACCTTATCTCTCTCTCTCAAGCACTAATGATAAAGATAGGAAGGTCACGAGAAGGTGTCAGATGCCTGCAAAGAGCCAGCCTGCTTTGTACTCACTTACTGCACATTCCTCTGACTTTAGAAAACAAGACTTTTCCTTAAAGGGTCTCTGGTTGTAGCACAGGCACCTCCCCATGTCACCTGCTTCAACTTTCCATTGTGGATCTTAGGGTCTGAGGTAAGAAATCCTTGTCATGAGCTTGCAGCACTGCTTGCTGGCCAGGTGACCTTGAGTGACTTCAACTCTCTGAGCTCCAGCTTCCTCATCCTTAGCAGGCACCTTAGGTGGCAATAGCAGGTGGCACCAGGGTTGTCATGAGGTGTAAGTGAGAGAATGCATGGGAAACTGTCAGCTTGGTGCCTGGTGCACAGGAAGGCCACAGTAGAGAGCAGTGATTAGTACCACTGAGTCTGAGTATCAGGATATCACATTGGGGATCTGGTTTTCCAAAGGACAAAGCTAGGGAGCTAGAGACTGTAATTTCAGAGATGTAAGGTATAGAAACAAATTATCCTGCTACTTTTGCTTGGTAACCACAGACACCAATTCCTCCTGTATAGGGAGAACAGCTTTGACTGGAGAAATGTTGACACATCAAGGACAGAATTCGGCTTTTAAGGTCATCATGGCTCAGTTCACCATAAAGACCCTAAGCCTATGACAATTAATGGAGATCTTGAGCCAAAGACAAACCAAGAATAGAAACTGGAAACCTTGTGGACTGAGTAGTTTTGACCCAATATGAGAATATTGTAGGAAATACACTTACTTTAAATTTGGTGGTGGTCATGGGGAGGAAGAAAACAAAAGTCCCTGTTAATTCAAATGAAGTGTTTCACTGATTACAGTAACAGAAGAAGTGCCTTGCCGAGTGGTGACCTCTCTGTCACTGGGCATATTCAGGCAAAGTCGGCTTGACGTAGGGTACATCTGTGTTCCGGACACGTTGGTCATTCACAAACCAGCTTCAGGATATTTGCCATCTCTCTACACTACTTTCATTACAACTTACTTAATATTTGTCTCTAAGCGAGCTCATTTTAGAAACGTGATAGAAAGAAAACTTGCTACTATCACTGTAGGAAGAAAGCCATTCTTGCATGTCACAAATAGAAAGTAACTATAAAAGTAAATACAATAAAAACAAAACAAGCTATTCAATTACAGCTAGGCACTAATCTTCACAAGGCTCTGAGCCTGAGGCCTGCCCTTTCTGTTAAAAGGAAGAGCAACAAGTCCTTAGAGAGGTGTTAAAGATTGAATAGCACTAAATTGAGACTTTCTCCTTTGCATAATAAAAAAGGACAAAAGAGAATTTAAAAACAAGTACCTT